CATAACTGGGCTGTTCCTGCTGTGTCTGGGGGGCTGAAGGATCTGAGGACGGCTGCGACTGAGGCACTCAACACTTGGGCTGCAAGGTTCACGCGCATGGCCGAGAAGGAGGTGACATAGATATGATCATATGTTATCTTTGGTAACAGCTTTAGACCACTTTCGACATCTTGGTAAAAAAGTTGAGTGATGTGTTGCCACAGGATGAAAAGACCATTATTCCACATGTATCTGAAATCAATAACATTAACATTATAAACCAAAGTGTCTTGTGATATGAGTAATAAGAAGTCAAGCTATTTTATATAATAAAATAATAGTAAAGACTAGGTGGTTAATAGCTAGATGCACTATGAAAAGTCTACATTTATATTTTTATGTATTTTCCTGTACTATGTATAATATAAATTTAAGCAATATTTTTTCTTTTCTTATGATGACAAAAATGTAATATGAAAAATAAAGATGATGTTATCCCATACCTTGTACATCTTCCAGAGCCTGAATGATGCAGACAATTGCGAGTGGTTTTAACCAAATGGGGGGCATCCGAGAAAAAGTAGATGTAACGGTGTCGAGCATACAGATTTATGGTTCTGTAGCATACATCTTTCCCAGGTGCATCATCAAGCCCTTTATGTAGGCGATAGAATTTTCTGTTAGGAGATGCTCCGTCTGCTGTGGCTGCTATAACCCAGAGATTGCAGGAAGTTTCCAGGATGCACACACCTTCCCAGAAAAGTGACATGAGTTGAGCTGAAGTTACACCTGTCGTAGCAAAATATGCCAGTGCAAATTTAAGCTCAGTACAAACACCTCTTACGAGGAAAACTAAGGCATGCGTTGCAATGTCATCTTGCTTTTCAAGAGTTGCATAGTTGATATCTGGCTCTCCAAGGTCAACATAACCAATAAGCTCACCAGTGTGTTTGTCAAATACTAAATTTGACTGGACTTTCATCTCATCAAATAGCAACACAACATATCTCTGTGTGTCAAAGTAGGAATTGGCTAATAAATTTAGTTCCTCCAATACACTTTCTTGGAATCCTCTCGTTGGCCTGATGTAATTCCGATAATCTCTGAGTGTCCTTTGGCTTGGTAGTACAAGGATTTTGCTCTGTCGGATCTCTTCG